GTGCGAACTAGCAGGGTAATGTATGCATACCGAACGTGCAAATGAAGCACGGGATTTGAATTTCCCGGGCTTTATTTGCATAAGCCGGCCGGAGCCATTTTTAAATGCTGGCTTGTTCGAACCCGGTGCTGCGCGGCTACACACGGCACGGGCTAGATAGTTCGGACTAGCAAGCTATTCTAGTGTAGCCGCGTGGCACGGGGTTCGAACAAGCCGGCATTTAAAAATGGCGCCGGCCGGCTTATGCAAATAAAGCCCGGGAAATTCAAATCCCGGGCTTCATTTGCACGTTCGGTATGCATACATTACCCCGCTAGTTCGCACTAGCGGGGTAGTGTAGACATACCCTTACTGGTCCTGAACGAGGGAATTTGCTGGACTGGGGAGGTCCCTGCTCTCCTTACCTAGACTGCCCCTGCTGCTGCCCCAGCCCCCTGGGGCTCTCTAGATGCTGTCCACCCTGCTGGGATGCAGCTCCGCAACAGCTGCTGGGGCCAGAACTCCCAGCTGTGTCACCTGTTCTCCCCCCTCACACACTAGGGCTCCCCGCTGAGTCGCCAGCGCCTCCTATGGCGCTTCTTCCCTGTCATCAAACCTCCCTGTTCCTGGGCTCTGTGGTCCAGGAACATCTGTGGTTGTTGCCAGACCAGGGAGTCCCAGTTAAGCGAGGTACAACCTGTACAGTGAATATAACTGTTGCCCATATATAGCCTACTATTTATCTGTATAGAACAGTTACCTAGCATGGTGGGAAGTGAGCATAGCCTGATGAAACACTTGCCTATTGCCATGTAATTCTGCTTCAAGTCCCCAGAGAGCACTCCTCTATCTCATTGCTTCAAACAAACAGCCCTGCTGGGTATGACAGAGGAACATCTCCGCATTGAATAAATGGGAGCTCAGTAACTCTCTCTCCTTGGGGAGTTACCTTCTTGGTTGAACCTCTTAGTAGGTGCTGCCATTAATCAGAGGACCCTGGCCTAAAGACATTGCAGCAGTGGTGCTGCTTCTCCAGTTTCTCCAACTGCGGGAATTGCCATTGCATCTGGCCCCTTTTGTAAGGGGTGTTGATGACAAGACAACTGGCAACATAAGCAGGAGTTAGAAATTTTACAAATCAAATCAAGGGTTCAGTCCTGAAACTTTAGGGCTAACAATTATGTCAATAGGATCAGTTATGTATACTCTGAAAGTGGAATGGTTAGAAACTAGGGTATTCTACAGAACTGATACCATTAGTATAGTTCTGCGATTAAACAAGGTTATCGGCTGTGGACTGGTGGAGCCTAAGACTAGGGTAACTAATTGCTCTCCCACAGCTATTCCTTACAGTATCATTGTTTCATACTAACTGTTTCTTTAACATTTACACCCATTTTTAGGATTTTGATGTTCCTTGATTCAGGAATTTCATCTTTCTGCTTGGCTGAAGTTTTTTGCTTTGGACCCTATACAGTTAGGGTGTGTCTACGCTACATGGTTCCATCAACAGAGCCATGTAGATGAGCTTTGTAGACATAGGAAAATGAAGTGGTGATTTAAATAATCGCCGTTTCATTTACATCAAAATGGCTGTCGCACTGTGCCAATCAGCTGTTTGGCGGCACAGAGGGGCAGTCTGGACGCTCAGCAGTCGACATCAAAAGCCTTTGTCGACCACTCTGGTAAACCTCATCCCATGAGGCATAACGGGGCGGTCAACAAAGGCTTTTGATGTCGACCACCGAGCGTCCAGACTACCGCACTGTGCCGCC